ATTTGTTATTTCTTTTCCTTGATTTGTTTCTTTTCATCAGAAATTGCATTCAAATTAAATGCAAATACAAAAAACGTGCCCAATAAATAAAAAAAATGTGATTAGTATTGCCAAAATGCAACCCTGCTGCGAGGTTGCAAAATGTAGACGCGTAAAAAACATACCTTTGAGTGTGACAAAATGTAGACGGCGTCGTTTTCCAATTTTGTATGGGAAACAACAACACCACAGATTTTACGGTTAGAAAACGTCTTAAAATGTAGACGTCTACATTTTCAGACACTATTTGGAACGAACTGTGAACACCCCAATAGTTACATTCCGAGCTAATAAAAGGAAGGTAAAAATCAAAACAGTCGTTTTTTTTATTTTTCCCCTCTTAAAGTTAGAATTTTTTTTTAATTTTTTTTATCAAAAAACAAAAAATCTGGAGTTATTAATTCATGAATTTAATTGTGAATATTATATTAGATATATATTTATTTATTTATTAATTTACGCCAATCGGCTGTACACTACATCTTTATTAGCTAGTATAATTAACTATGTACATACGTACACATAAGTGAAATGTAAAAAATATAATGAAAATGCTTTAATTTGTACGAAAGATTAATAAAGAACCCTCAAAAAAGTTGATGTTTGCACAACGCCTACTGACATACACTTTTTTGAGGTTTTTATTATACCTAATAACCTTTTAGATCTTAATTCAGGCTTATTACAAACTAGTCCAAATTGTTCTAAGATTTCCGGGGAATCGATGTGGCTCTTAATGATTTTATAAAAGAGGAATTCTGACAATCGCTACGCTAATTTCCATAGCCAAAATTCTCTAAATCAGTGGGGCCTAAAAGCACGCAACATGGAAAAGTAACAGATGCAATGTGTTATCAGCCAAAGCTGGCAGTATGAGTGGCATGTAAGTAGATGTTGCATGTTGTTAGGCGCGGCTGCTTTTCTTTTGGAGATTTTTAGCGATCAAAATTAGCGATAGCGAATGCTGGAATTCGGGTGCTGGTACTAGGTGACCACTGCCTAACTAGTGCAGTGTATAATGTCGCAACTGAGGTCATTGCTAGATCTTAAAATAAACGCAAGAACTTTGTAAGCTTGAGATATTTTATCCACATGATCAGAATAAGTCAGTTTGTCATCGATGATCACCCCCAAGTCCTTCTTTGCTTTCAATTCAATTGGATGAATGTAGCGTGACCGAAAGAAGCACATCGAGTTGCATTTATCTACTATATTTAACTTTAACTTGTTACGTGTGCACCACTTAATAAGTTCATATATATCATGTTGCAGAAAGATGACATCGTTCTTGCTGCTTATTTCCCAGAAGATCTTTAAATCGCCGGCAGACTGTAGGTGTTCCGATAGTATATTAGAACAGGATTTACACTTTCATCTGTCGCCTTTTACTTTTGCCGTAAAATGTATCCATTTAAAATGCAATAAATATTTAATTTTTATATATTCTGTATTCTTAACTAAACTTGCTAGGTGCTCTCACCCATCTGCATTTACAGTATTATGTTCATATTCTCATAAAAAAAACCCACTAAAGTTTACTATTAATCTAATTTTCTCACTTCCTCCAAAACATGCTGCTCAAAATAAATACAAACGCTAATAAAGAGAGAATAATACAAAAAAAAAAATCAATTTGCGCCTGAACAAAGCCACAGTCAGCTGTACATATACACGTTATATCTACCTTTGTGTATATGTAAAAACATGCAATATCTTGAAAGCCCACTATAGAAATAAACTATTCGTCTACAACAACAGCATTTAATCGCATTTGTGACACTTACACTTGATAAAATCATAGCACAGCTCTAAAGCCTATCTACCAAGTAAAATTAACTACATAATTTATTAGTTGCGACTTATAAATAGGCTTTGAAGTAAGCTTTCGATAGACTTTCAACGTATACGAAGGAAATAAAGTTATTTGGAAAATCAGTCAATGAGAGAGCTTTGGCAGTACGATGCGAAAGTGTTGGTAATTTTTAGTCTACGGTTGACGGCTACTTATTGGAATTGGACACACCTTCTCTGGCAACCTGTATAATTTACTGTAATTGTGTGGCGTGCACTGCACAAAGAGCCAAGAGGTACCTACAAAAAAGTGTGGTTGCCTAGCATAGAACGATTATCAAAGTATCTAACGTTGTTGTAGTGTTTTCACAATCAGTACAAGTGTCAACATCGCTGCTGTTAGACAAATGCCTTACATTATTATACGCGGAAACTTAGCATCATACAGCCATAAATATCCGTGGCGTGTGTTAGTCTCCGGACTTAAAGGTAACGTTTTCATATATTGTAAGCTAAAGTTTATGTTCGCCTATTTGCTTTCGGGCTAACATCTTGTTCTTTTTTTTGTCATATTTTTTGTTTTGCCGTTGAATTTGCGCAAGCGCTTTTTATCTTATTTTGATACCCGCGGAAGCTCATTTTTTGATGTGAATATTTCCACATTTTTTTTTTACTTTTTTCGCTTCTTTTGTACATGTTTCTATCATTAGGTTATTGCCACACAATAGCTTTAATTGGTTATCGTTTTGCAATAACTAACTGAAAATATGGTCCCAAGTCACAGCGTAATTAACGCACCTTATATTATAACGAAACTATATTTAGATAAATTATTGAGATGTAATGGAAAAATTAACTAAGCGCTAATAGGAAATAAAACGATTTGAAGCGAATAACCCTTTAGATGTCTTAGCCGGATTTTTTTCCGGTAGGTTTTGCATCTTTCAAAGTCGAAATTGGCGCACCATATTTTTCACTTTTATTTAAATTTTCAATATTATTGAGCACTTTTTTTGGTATTTTGTAACGTTGCTCTCAATACAACATTAGAACAGTACATTACCGTTAAATTTTTAGAAACAAAAAACCTTTTCTTCTCTTGGAACTTTTATTGAGGTCATTTGGTGTAGATATTCGTTCCTTATCGTCAAATATCGGATACATTTACGCTATTGCCAAACAATGTCACACCATATTGTGGCAAAGAAAATGATGGAGCACCGGCCAACTAGCACCAAAAAAAAAAAACAATATAAAAGCAACAAATACAAAGCATACACCTGTGGCCAAGTAAAACTAGCCAGTGACAGTGAAATTGTTCAAGCATACGCGTCTGAAAAACTTCAAATATGTTCAGATTTAAGTGTTTAAATGTCTAAGACTTGCGCGAAATAATAATCTATCCAAAAATTGACTCCTTTTCATTGATCTATTTATGTATGCCATTATAGAAAATTGAAAGAATAATTTTAGGGATGAAAAACTTTCAAAATACTGGGCCGATTTGAATGGCTTTTTATTTTAAACGAATATATTTGTGACCCAATAGGTCTAAGGAGCATTTTCTTTAAACAATTTTAATTGAGAGCATCTTAAATATAAGTATGAATATTTATTACGCATTGCTTTAACGTTGGCGCTTTTGTGACGCGTTTGTGTTAGGAGAGAAGGCTAACAAACTTTTTATTGGACTCCAACAGACATGAGCAGGTCGATAAAGATTAGAATTGCAATTCGATAATGGGCTGGATTTCGAAATCATAACGAATGCGCTCGATAACGAAGGTTCCGTTTTGCTGGAGAACACAAGGTGACACTCGAAAAAAAAAGGTTTTCCAATCATTTTCGAATTGTTAACCAACCGCAATGTTTATTGGGAACATACATTTAAACGTTGAATGGTTCAAGACTTACAAAAATGAAACGTCCATAGCAAAACTGAGCACAACTCATCGGCTTGTTCGCTATACTAACAAACAAACAAATTTCCCTTTATGAACTCAATCTCAGTATTTAATTCCTGTCCTTATACATACGTACATTAATATCTGTTAAATATGCAAGCTAAAATTCAAGAGTATGAAATTTGAAATTTAAAAAAAAAAAATGCAGAATCTTAAGTGATAAGGTTTATGTGCCCACAGGTATACATAGTATGTATGAACCTAAGTACATTTGTATATATATATATATATGCACATGCATGCACACATATGGGTGTGTATGTTGGTGCATACAGATGTATGCATATGAGAATGAAAAAATCATTTCAATGGCAGTAGCGCTCGTGCTGGCCAACTCTTACTGAATGGGGAGAGTTCACTTCAGCTTTGCTCAACTTTATTTCATTCCATTTACTGGTGTCGTTTAGTGATTTTGTGCGATTGCCACTCGCTCCAGCTATTTATGTGAATATTTAATTTGAAAGCTGACCATACATACACATTTCGTGAGTAATAGCGAAATTTACTGAAAACCGACGTAAAAAATGTAAAAATTTGTAAATTACTCTAAATACGCAATGCTGTTAATTTGTGTCTGCATGTCTTCAATGCGGTTTTCTACGCTTTTTGAATTACATAAATATGTATCAAGTTTTCATGCCGAAAAATTAGTGCGAAAAATGTTTAAAACATAGTAAAATGTTAGCAGTCAATAACGCGAAATACATACGTACGATTAACGACAATCGCAGTGTTAATTACGGTTTGCATTTGTTTTTTTAGGGACTTTAATACTTGTTCCTACAAAATACATATGTATGCTGATGTACATATGTATGTACAAACATATACATATGTACATAAATAATCTCGACGCATGCAAGTAACAAACTTTCCTTCCCTACGGAGATATGCGTCAATGAACTTAAGATTGACACCATTCCATTGTACCCGCATTATTCTCTTTGTGTGGCTGCTACGCAGTTGTAATATCTGATTTTATTTCGATTCTCGATACTTATAGCCTGCTGAAAAATCCAAGAGTACCTAATAGCGAAACATTTTGAGAATACTTTGCATTTTGTGGAAGAAAATAAGTACTTCGTGAGCAAAATTAAAAAATAAAAAATCAAAAAGCAACGCGAATTTTAACACACTTTGAACTTGCACTTTTTTAATGCGAATTAAAAGTTGGAAACTTGCTGCAATTTTGTTGTATTTTTATCGTGTTCGTACAAAGTTAAAAATTTGGATTTATATGATTTTTGTTATAATATGAATCATATTTAAATTAAAAAAAAAAAAAAAAACGAAAAATGTTTATCGTGAAAAAAATTGTGAATATAGAATAAAAAAATAAGTGGACGCAGACTAGGCGTACGCATGTATATATGTACAGCCATATGTATGTATGTATGTACATTCTCATTTATGTGAATAGTCGTTCGATTCGTTTTTTCTTTCATCTATTCCTGCGATGAGGTAATTCCTCGTTATAATTTTTCCATTGTCCTGCGGTTGGCCAAAAAGCCCTTGTAGCCATCAACGCCATGCCGTTTTCCGATGACATCACTATTAACTTTATTTACATTTGCTGTATCGCATTGCTTGCGCCGGTTTTTTGCATTTTTTTTTTTATTTTATTGCTAGACACCCTTTATAATTGATGTGTTGTTATTATAGATGTGTGTGTTCATAAATAGTACATTGCATACATGGTGGTTCATTTGAAAGCTGCATTTTTTTTTACTGATTTCAGAAACGCCAATCTCCTAGATTTTTTATTCAAGGGACCTATAAATTTGTAAGATTTGTAAACAATATCCGCCCATTCTATTTAATTTTAATTTTGCTTTCATCGACTTTTTGGGTTATTAAAAAATAAAGTATTCCATTATCAAACACACTTTTTCGTTGAGCTTTTTGACCGACGATCTCAATGGAATGGACGGGGGATTGCCACTGCATTACACAAAATTTATTTATCTGCACTATTTATAAAAGTTTTAACCCGCTCTTAAGTACTTTTGGAACATCCTTCAAATGTAATATTTTTCTTCATTGCAGCGGATGAAATTGAGCAGTTGAATAAATTTTCGTGCGGCGGTTATAGCGATGAGACAACAATAGTATATCTGGTACATCCATGTAGAATCTTATCTGCGCTTGAGGTAAATAAATAAGTACTTACATACATATTTCTTAAAAAAAAAATCGTTTCTATACGTACTGTTTAGTATGAATCAGACCAAGAAACCCGTTTAGATTTTGAGACATACATATGAACATATACAATCAAAAAGTAGGTGTTCGCTGCTACGCTGATGACAGCCTCATTCAAAAGTGCTCTCTTAAAAGTAACGTTTTGTTGGTAATTCATTTTAAATGTCTATGAACAGCATGACAACATAATTCACAAAATATGCCCGATTTAAACCCTTATTAACTCCTTTTTATTAGCAATTGGTCGCTTCCCTCTTCTCCGGAGTAAATCCTGTAGAAATGTTAAACAACAAAATTGTACGAGAACGAAAAAACACCTTTCGAGTGATGCAAACAGGTATCTTAAACAAATGTAGTTTGCATGTTCCCTCAAACAAAAAAGGGTCCTCAGTTATTTATATACATAAATGACAGTCGTTGGCCAGACTCGCCTAGCTCATTATCGATATTACTGTAAATATCGAGAGATATTTTTGTCTCTATCCAGCAGATAATTTCAGGAGCTAAAAGCCTTTCCAAACGGCCTTCATGAGAGTCAAGCAGGCTTCCACTTTGAATTCCTTTCTCCTTTCCTTTTTGCGTAGAGTGGCACAAATTGAAGGACGCCTTTTTTCGCTTAGCTTTCCTTTAAAGCAGCTTCTTTAATCCATACAAATCATATGTACTTGTTAACAGCATTTATTTAAGATTCATATCAAATATGTTTTATAGCAAATTAAAAGCCTAAACCATTTTCTTGGTACATCTGCTTATGTAAATTTCAAGTTTTTTCTCCATGTTAAATTTAAGTTGTCATTCAGAGCCTTTTCAATGATGATGATTTCTTGATATATGTGCGTACATACATACACACATACATACAAACTTTCACTTTTCTCCTTTGGTAATTCTAGTTCTTTTATTCATTAAAATGCAGATTTGCGTGACAATTAGTGGACAAACTTGCTTATTCCACAACGTTGGGTACAAATTAAACCATTTTATATGTAAATTAAGTAGAATAACACGTTTTAATTATTTAGGCATTCATTGAAAGTCTGCTTCTTTTTCGGCATTCATAGAAAGTGCCTGTGAAGATTTCAATGAGTTGTTTTAACAGTAGGTAGTTTATGATACGTAAATAATATTACTGAAAACATTTTAAATATAAAGAAAACTTTTCAAGAACGCCCTATTTTAAAATTTAATTGAAAAACACCCTATCTCAAAATTCGGTTCAAAAACGCCCTATCTCACTTCAAAATGTATTGAAAATATGCGTTTTCGAAACGAATTCTGAAATAGGGCGTTCTTAAAAAGTTTTTTGAGATAGAGCGTTTTCGAACTGGCTGCCGATATAGGTCGATCTTCCACTCAGCCATCGATATATCGATCGTCCTGTGCAATAACGACACAATTCAAACTTCAAAAAATAAAAACCCTTACTACTGTTAAGTGGCTCATGGCTTTAATTCTGCTCGAATCCACGTCTAACCTTTAGTACTTATTTTAGCAATCCTTACTGCTTCCTTTAGTAAGGGTTGGAAATGTATTAGACAAGGATTAGAAATAGGATACACTTAACAGTAGTAACATTTTTATTTTTTTGGAATTTTGAGTTGTGTCGTTATTGTAGAGAACCATCGATATATAAACATTTCAGAAATTTGTAAATAAAGCGCCCATATATTTAGATTTTAGGCTTTCGTGTAGTCGCCTCTTCATCAACAGCCGTTAAACAGGACTACAACGAGTATATGTGGACGATGCGAAAAGAATTCCATGAACCAGAGCCTCTCGAAACAGAATCCGTTGTACGTGAGAATCTTTCGAATATAGGACGTGAAGCAGCAGGCCTAGGCAACTACCATAAGGTCGATTCGCCCGAATAAGAAAGCGGTTAAAGTAATCAAATACAACAAATCGAAATCAGATATCTGGCGCCTGATCTCCGTCTACGGAAATTCCTACAGGGAAAATAATTCAAGAAGCAAGTAAGCAGTAAAAAAACTAGAAAACACACGACTTCGAAGTTTCGCGAAAAAGTAAACAAAAAAAAAAACAAATTAGTGCAATAAAAAGATAACTATCTAAATACCTAATAGCGTCTGTGCGACATTCGAAAAGTGCGCGTGTTTGACTGAGAAGTGAAAAAAAAAAAAAAAAAAAAAAATCCTTTACGAAAAAACCAAAAAGAAAACCTTAATTTTGCACATTTTTTATATTCTTTCGTTCGGTTCGTAATTTTAATTTTAGACCCCATTTTCTACCAACCCAACTATAATCTATTTAGCCAATAAACAAACAAAAAATTTTTAAATAATGGACTCTCAGCCTCCGCCTCCGCAACCGACCGCAATGCCCACCCCAGCGGAGGCACAACCTGCCCCCAGTAACCCCAACACCAGTATAGGTGCCGCGGCAGCCAGTGTGAACTATGTAACCACAACGGCCACATCCTCGGTGGCCGCACAAACGGCGACTTCAACGAACTCAGTGCCGACCTCGGTGGCGAATGTGGTAACCATACCAGTGCCGATCGTTCAAAACGAGGAGAACTATACATATGTAACAGTGAAAGGTTCCTTGCACGATCGCTCATGCGCTGTTTTTGGGCTCAACGATACGGAAATCCAAGCGCTATCGAAGCGTTTCGGTAATGGCTTGAAGGGTGCCGTAAATGGTGTAATGGTAACAATTACACCGATGGATATGGTGAACACGTTAGCACAGTTGGGTTATAAAGTCGTTTGTAGTTGCGGCGAGGCGGAGATCAGTTGGACTATGCAACGCGAGATTTAAATATCACTTTGAAAGACAAAAGCAGAACTTCTAAAGTTAAATACTTTTGGAAATTGCAAATTTTATTGTTAACAAAAAAAATATAATCGTTGCGGTATACTTATATTCAAATGTAGTTATGAAAAAGCTTTGTTGAGAAAAAAAAAAGTAATCAAAAAATATGTAGAAAATTGAGCAAATATTATTACCAAATACATATGTATGCATAAAACTAAAAGCTTAAGAAAATTGTAAGAATATTATTTTTCTTTGTTAGGAATTAAAACAAACAACTGTTTTCCAAAACCCCCAAAAAAATAGTGTTGAATTTCTCAATCATTGAGCTAAAAGCTAAAGCAATAAACGCATAAAAAAGTTAAACTTATAAACAGTTGCATATACTCACACATATGTACGTACAAACTATACATTGGAAATAATTGACAAAAACTAAAAGAACTTTGAAAGCAAAATAAATTATTAACATTTAGCTAAAATGGATCTACACGATGCGGATAATTGCAAATGTCATAAACAGGCGGCGCCAGCACAACAAACCTTAACTGATATGGAATTCGATCGTGGCATCTGGAACGCTGGTGAGTAGCAAAAAAATAAACTTAGACATAAGAAGGTTTGGTAAAAAATCTAAATTCTAGAATTACTGCATATTGTAGAATACATAGAAAACCTTATTTTTGAGTATTTCCCATTATTTTCATTAAATTACTTCAAAGCAGTGGCAAAGCAAGCGTGCTGAACGCCATTTTGCCTTTTTATTGTTTTTGAGGTCACATATGATGGGCAAAAGCTCGGACTTTGGAAAGCTTTCGGAAGATAATTTAGATACTAAACGAGCTGTTCCGTTACTATCAAAGATCGTTCAACAAATTATGTGTTCAAAAATAGTTCGTCAATCGTATAGTCTCCCAAACAATTATTGGAACTTGAATGCCCCGGGTAAAGGCCAGGTTTACGATTTTGTTGTTTGTAGATTGGTAGTAGATGCTTTCTTTATTAATAAATCCAAGTTTCCGTGCAATCTGTCGACCAGTCCGTTTAGAAACGGGCAATTAATTCCGGTGACAGTAGTGTTTTACGGGCTGAATTTTCTTCATAAAAATGGGATATAATACCTTTACAGGCTTAAATTCAATATTGTCTCGCTGCTTATTAGCTTACCTAGTAAAAGATTACTATTCTCCAGTGTATCTTAGGGCCAGTTTCTCAGTGCTGGTTTAAACTTAGATTACGTAAACTGCGTTTAAATTCAACAGATGGCGTGCCAGCTGGCGCGTTTAAACTAAGTTTAAATCACAGTCATGAACTGAAAAACTGGGCTTTATTGTTGCAAACTGAATCAAATAAAACAATATAACCAGATAACCAGCCGCGCTTATGCCAGTAGAGTAAATATATTTACACATTTCAAATAGTTACATGCGTGCATTTATTATTTTCTCTTTTTTTCGAATGCAGCTATCTACAACGAGCCGGAGCGCGTACGTAATTTCATTAGTCGCGGCAAATCAATGGACCGCGATGACTTCGACTACACAGCGCTTCATTACGCAGCGCGCAATGGCAATTTAGAAATATGCAAAATGTTAATCGAAGATGGCAAGGTCGATGTGGATGCTGTTACAAAAGCAGGTGCTACGGCACTACATCGCGCTGCTATGATGGGTAACTTTTTTGTTTACATGAAGAGGGTGTCCGAAAAGTTTTTCACTTTCAATGCCATTTAGCACAAGGACATTCAAAATTTTGGTTATATTAGCATTGGATTTTCTTAAAATTTGTCTAACGTATGCGGAATGAAATGTGGACAATTTCTAAGCAGACTTAAAAAAAGTGTGGTAAACACAGGAGCGAAAGGAACAAAGGAAATGTCGGGTTTTTAGAATGGGAAAACAGTTTAACATGCTGCGAAATGAGACCGTAACAAGATTCATAAATTGCTTAAAATTTGCAAAATCACAACGTATAATGATTATAAAGTACAAAGTAAGCAAAAAAAAAAACATTTGAGGATATAGTGAAATATGTGCAAACCACTTTACCCAAGATTTGTAAAACGTGGAAAAGGAAAATTAAAAGCGGCTATGAGCGGCTATTGTACAACGGATTAGGGAAATATTTTTGGCTTTTCGAAGTCCATTTAGCGACAGGAAATAAGAAATTGCGGAAAGCGGAAAATCCAGCTTTTGGAGAAATTCGTTGACGGATTTTTAGCTTTTGCTCTTATTCAATATAGTACATATGTACGTACATATCGCACACGTTCTTCAAACGCGACACAACTCAAAATTTGGCAGTTTTGAAATAATGCATTAAAAATATACACAGAACTTTTATTTACCTTTAAGCAAAAGCTGGAGCCCATTTTTTTATAATTTGTTGAAAGAACGCAAGGTAAAGTCTCCCTTGCCCATATGATTAGCATGTGCTACGCAATTGGTTTTTTCATTTTCTGACTAACGTGTAATTTTGAGTTGTGTCACTTTTGAAGATGGTGTGCGATATGTATTTAATGTTACCAGATAATTTCGATACGATTAAAAAAGTTAATAGGTTTTCAGTGGGCAATGTTTACGCGCATCGCATGAGGACGGTTTAAACACTTTATTTACAGTGATGATATCATAGAAAAAATAATAATTCAGTTTAATAGAATCATTTTTGTAAAATGAGTAATATACATAAGTTATGCAATGCAATTTTGGGCAGAAGTTCAAACTCATATGCATTAGAGATGGGCGATCTCGTGACTTTTGAAGAACAACGTTATTTGTAACTGTGACTTTGCAGTCACAATGATTTTCATCCGTGACTGTGACAAAAACCGTGACACAAATGTTGCAAACAGCAATATTTTACCGAGTGAACTAACGGCATTATTTATTTATTTGGCATCACTGACTTTCCTTGTTTGTTTTGGTCATCCACATTCATTTTTAATGGTGTGAAATTTGTAATATCAAACAACATTAATCAGATTTTAAGCTGATGCCAGATAAAACTCTGTGACTTTGCGTGACATTTATAACTTTGCCAGCAAAGCGCCAGACGCAAAGGTATGCCACAATGAACGCCAAGAAAACAATTTTTTGCTGCTCTTTTACTCGTCAAAATTGCTGTGGATTTCATATATGTATTTAGCTTTAAAAATATCATCAATGTAATTAAATTTTATGTTTCTGCATGAAAACTCGAATTCGAACGAAAGAAAATTAATATTAAACCGGCTGATTGTCAACGCGTGAAAAAAGATGGGAGTTGGCCATCTTTTCGCTTCGCGTTGCAGCTGCAACGAGATCTATGTGGCATGCTTTGTGCATTTTCATACAATTCATTTTATCTGTCAAAGCGAATCTGTCACGCAAAGCGAAGGAAGCGTTTTATCTGGCATCAGCTTTAGTCTTAATAACTTGTCGCAGTTCCTCGATATGTAATTGCGACCAGGGTTGCCATTTTCGGTTTTTCCTACCAAAATTGGTAGGTTTTTTCTCGTTTCTAGGATGGTAGGACGCTTAAAATTTTGGTAGGTTTCTTTGCTCATAAAACAGAACACATCTCTGGTTTGTTGTAGTGTGTCACTTTGTCAGCACTGTGAGTAGGCTTGCCAAATTGGGACATTATCAGTTTTACCCTCATCCTTTTTCTTGGATGGCTCCAACTGTTTGCCAAATATCTTAAACCCCGCATTGCTTAGGCATATGCAGAATTTCACCAATGACCTCCGGCGATTCTCTGAACTCCGTATACGCTATAAAAATTTGTATCCACTGGGTATCTAAAGGGATATCAAGTGATTGAATTGATGGACGAAAATGACCTTCGATATTCAGTATGCATATCGGACTGAGAGCGAACTCATAACCAACCTTAGTTTTCCAACGTTCATAGTATATTGGAAATACACTCGAGATGGGTTCGAAAAAAAAATGGAAACCATAGTAACAAGAGAGATAGTGAAGTCCAGCTCATTCTCGAAGGAAAATATAAAAACAATCGCTCTCTCACAATAAAATTTCAATTCGATAATGGGCTGGATTTTGAATTCATGACGAAGGGAAAATACATTGGATAACGAGGGTTCCGTTTTGCTGGAGAATGGCCTTGTTCTCGAATCGAATACTAACCTATTGCACATTCGTTATCGAAAGTGAGACTCGAAACAATGTTAGCTTTCCAATCATTTTCGAATTGCTAACCAAGCCCAATGTTTATTGGGATTCAACAATGACAAGGTTATTAAAATAACAAATGTAGGTACGAGTTTACAGAATATGTTATTTTTTATCATAAACAAAAATTAAAAAGAAAACTTATTGTTTCCAGTAAATTGGAGGATCTCAAAGTTTTTAACCGGGTTCAGCGGGCCGGATTACATGTCGGTACGTGAGTCTGACTAAAAGCACTCGCCACTTTTTTGTGTGCTATGCAAAATATGTTCTTAAATATCTATATACTAGCTATTATTCTGATCCTTTTTGAATAACTCAGTGTGAGGGCAGGACCAGGATGAATGTATTTGCATAAAAATTTATTAAAGCAAAAATGTTTTGGGTAGGCGTCGGAGCCAATGATAACCATCAGTTACCACCCCAACAGCTTGTAGCGGCTTTGGCTTTTGCTGTTTAAAACCACTCCGGAGGAGTGGTGATGCATCAAGCGGAAGTGTCGAGCATGATTTGGAGTGCCAGCAATTAACTACTTTAGTAGGTTTTGTTCTGCGGCAGTTGAGAAGTGCATTAAAAAATGCATACCCAATGAAGAACGAACGAATTATTCTTAAGCACAAGTGCGTGTGTTTATTCGCTGCACTTGGTTTTGGGCGGGAGTGCAATATACAAGTGCGTGTGTGTGTTCGCTGTTCTTTGTTTATGCGGGAAATGCATAAGTCGCTTGAACACTTTTGTTTACCTAGATATCTTATTTTGAGTACAAAATATTTTCTGCCGTCAAACTCCGTTTTTTGAAATGGTAGGAAAGAAGCCATTTTGGTAGATTTTTGAACCAGCTCTTGGTAGGAAAGAAAGTTTTTCAGTGGTAACCCTGATTGCGACTGCTGCTTTATCACAGTCACAGTTCGTACAGCGGCTGTGACTGTTACTGTCATTGTAGAAGGCGCAATCCTACTAAAAACATTATTGCGACTGTTCCTTTGTAACAGTCTGTCCCGGTGATTCTTTGAAAGTTGTCACAGCAGTTAACCGTGACTTTTGAGTAACCGTGACAAGGTCACAGGTACGCAAATATCTGCCACCTAATGCCATCTAATATGGATGCAGGTGGCAACAAATTGTTTTCAGATCTGCCGGAATTTGCAGTTCATTTACTTTGACTACCTATGTCTAATGCAGCACTTGAACTTTATTCAGTCAGCTAAACTTGGTCAACGCAAAGCTACGCAGCGCTAATTAACTTTATTCTTATTTTTTATTTCTTATGAACTTCGATCCTAGCTGTATTATTCTATTATTAATTTTAATTTCAATTAGTGTTTTAAATGAATTTCTTAAAATTATTTTAATATAAGCCTGGATTTTTTTTACTCGAAAATAGTTGGCAGCACTGCCTAAATATAACTCTGAACTATTTATCGTCTAAATGGCTAAAAAAACAATAACTCAAGTTGGCACAGTAAGTTTAAAAAAAAACCCTCCGCTTTATGCCTGAGAACTTAAACATATCAATCGCATGAGTATTTTCTATAAAAGTTTTTCTTGTAAATTTCGACAATATCTATGTGAGCGGAAGAACAGTATTTGTTGCATCCGAAAGTATAGCTGGTTCTTTTTACTGCATCAGTTCGTATTTCATTCCGCACACGTTATTATTAAAGTACATTCAGACTTTATAGCTTTATCGCTAATTTTGTGACGCTAATTTCCCTACTAGGCATTCATAAGTGAACTAAGAGTCAAAAAGAAAAAAACGTCGATTTTGCGTTTGAGTCTTCTAAGTAAAAGATTCGTGTATAAACCTTGATACTTGATTAAAAATGGCTTATTATATAAAATTTCAAAACAAAGTGAAACGTTTTGGGTCACCCTGTGTGCAAAAATAAATTATTTAGAATTATTCACAAATTTATATACTAATAGCAAACATTTCTTACTATTTTTCGTGCAGGTCATTTAAATGTAGTCAAATTATTGGTGGGCGCCAAGGCCAAACTCCAATTGCAAGATGAATATGGTCAGACAGCACTTCATCGGGCAGCTATACGTGGTCACTTGGAAGTTTGCAAATTTCTGCTCGAGAAGGATCCAAAATTGAAGGAAATTAAGGATAAGAAAGACAAAATTGCATACGAGTATATAATGGAGAACGCCAATGATGATTTCAAAATATTACTTAAGCCTTGAAAGTCAAAACGCAAACGAAACCGCTAAAATTTAAAAATCAAGTTGCATATACTACATATACCATGAAGTAGCAAAAATAGAAATGCTATCACAAAATATCTAAAAGCTGCATTTTTACACCAAAAGCACTAAGTAAGCGTACTTACATCACATTCATGGATTCAATTGCGTGCACATCTACTTATTTTCAAATATAAATATACATACATACATATTTGCAGTCTACACATTCTTCAGCACTTTTCTACACAGTGCGTACCTGTCCTTATATGTATATTTTTGCGCAACTATCATTGGAATAAATATTCGGACAATTGGATGTTTGGAATTCAAATTATTTTCATGTTTTATTGACACGTCTGCTTAATGGAACTTTCAGCATTACAAAATGCCAATTTAAACTACATACCTACATACATGCATATGTATGTATGTCGTGACTATTTATATTTGATTTTGTAATTCTAATTTCAATTAGTATATTCTAGAATACATATGTATATCTATTTTTGGCTACAAGCTACAAACAATCTTATTGATTTGTTGAGGTTGAAATTATGTTTGTTGCACTTTTTGAGCTTTTTTTTTTGTCTTTACTACACAGTATATGTATCTATATATTACCTTTATGTGTATGTATATTGAATACAATAACCATGCGTACTCTGAGTTGCGTACTCAAAACGTTGTATTTTGTAGTTCAATATCATAAAAGTTTATACATATAAATGATGTGAGATCATTTTTAAAATACATACATACATAAATGCATTTCAAAAACTAATAAAATTTGATATCGATATATAAAATTTGATAAGAATAAATATATATATTATTCTTCCTCTTAAAAGTTTAATTTTTCATATATGTATGTACATACGTACAACAAACTTTGCCATCCATTTAGGAGGACTACATTCAGTATAACAAATTTGGGTTTTTTTTTTTCGTCTACTGTTAACACTTTTCTTTCAAATGCAATCTTGTATTAGGGTAACTCTAATATCATCTATATCATCAAAAGGTTTACCTAAGGAACACTTGAAATCGATTCTAGTACTCTGTATGCGAGTGTAAGGAGCTGCTTCTAATTTATGAATATGTATGTATACGTGTATGTGTATACTAAATTGTTTTCTACGCAAGATTTCCGACGTCAGATTCTCTATGAATGCAACTAAAAAATCATTCAGGTTAGAACAATTCCGTTGTTTTTTCGAACAAAGCCTCAAAGCAAAGACTTTGTACCTTTATTTTAAGTTTTCAGCAAATACATATACATATATCATTCGTTTAATAATATATATAGAGAATTGATTCAAAATTTACGTTTTTGGAGATTTCATAAGAAGAATATGTTTAGAGTAACAGACAACTAAACTCTCCAAAAATGACGAAGATTCAAAATTCGAAAAATAATTTTTTGCATTTTGAATTGTGTCGTTGTTGCAAGGGACATCATCGGTGTGTCTTCATCTTTGTTCTTTTTGTATACCTACTACATATATGAATTGATCAAACTTTTATTGAGTTTTCCCACCAATTTAAAATTTTGAAACTATTCTCGTCATTATTAAACGTGCTTTTGCTGAATACGTTTTAAGTGCTAAGATTTCGAGCCTGCCTATGTATATCTTTTGCTCTTTCACATGACGTTGGCTTTGCTCGAATTACTATTTCGTTATTTCTCTCTCTGTGAACGTAATTCTCTCAATTTTCTCATTCTTCTTCTTCCTGATAATTATCTACTAGAAGAGAAAAGAAGCAAAGCCATATACTTAAAATATGTAGTCTTATCCAAGGTACATTGAACAGGTAGTATCAGTAGAGCAGCTGATTTGATTTATTTTCAAATTATTTGGTCTCGAAAATGTCAAATATTTTTAATTTTTTCTCACAAAAATTCTGAATTGTTAAAATCCATTTGCATGTGAAACCTTTTCCCATACAAAACAAGCGATTGAATAGCAGCTTTTGGAACGTTCGCCCAACTCGGCAGCACGACCGCTGATTACTGGGCCTTGCAAAGGATGGATCAATGCTTCGAGAAGCAAACAAATTTACTAGGAAAGAAAGTTGCATCAATTTTTATTTTTTCCAATTTAAATTTTTTATATTTTATAATTTTTTGTATTTCACATGGCACGCTTTGATTTAGAAGAAAAAATTCAGAACAGTTTTTGACACTTTCGATACCAGAAGCAACAACAAAATACACGCAAATGTTGTTTTTGCTCTACTGATACTACCTGTTTAATGTGCCTTGAGTCTTATCTAATGTGCAATTTTCAAGTCGGACTGTGTTATTTAGTAAACGAATCGAAAAGTAATGAACCTAAGGCTGGCCGCATACATAAGATTTTCTTATCAGATTATCGGAATCGTCCGTGTCGAGGCGATTTTATACAAGGTGGTGTTGATGGCGAATTAAATTTTCGCCGCGGTACTACTGAATGTCAAAATGTTGTGTTTGTTGTAAACAAGGCGAATTCATTTTACAACAAACACATCATTTTGACATTATGACGTACCTCGGCGAAAATCTAAATTCGCCATCAACACCACCTTGTATAAATTCGCCTTGGTCCGTGTTATCGGTGTGCGGGACGTTCATTTCATTCTTTCATTTATTTCATTTTATTTTCAGCTTCAGCTTGTGTGGGAACAGACGAACCATTGCGATAATCGGATAGGAGAATCCTACGTTCTACGGCCGACCTAATAGAAATTTCGCCCGTTATTTCAGTATTTCAAGCACGCCCTTAATGACCGTTGAATCGACATCAATCAGTATATCTAAAAATTCGAAGTATTAATCGAGAAAGTACTAGTGGGTCTAATGATCCCAGTGGCGACTTAAACATATAAATTACGTTTTATAACTGCATAGAGCACAACGAATGAGCCATTTTCGAATCGCCGTTATCACCGCACTAGGCATCATTTGAAGCAAAACTGAAAATCAAATGGAATCCTGTATCCCCCCTCTCAGTCAATTTGTCTTCAAACCCTGTAATATAAAACATATTGATATCCTCATTCCGGTGCATTGGTTTTAGAACTACATATGTATAGTAAAATGTCTTAAGTTAAAACCGCTGCAACAAAAATTTTGAATGAGAATGAGCAAGTCGAAGTTTGAAGAAGTACAATTAGAATAGTTTCGAAACTAAGTGAATAGAAAGACCTTACAAAAGCGGGTATATTGGAATTGAGGAATCCTACAATGCAAAACATCCGACTTTTATTTCTAAACTATAATTGATGGAAATGGCCAATTTGCGTAATCCGACATTTCCATCAGCGTTAGTTTTTATGTTTAGTTTTATGCAGGCTTTTACACTTTTTGCAATATTTCAGCAACCATTCATTCGAATCTTCTGTTTTTTTTTTACAGCAATTAGAAGACTTATTGGGCAACAAGGTAAAGTGGCCAGTTTGTAATATTTCGACTTTGTTTTTACAAAAAGTTTTATTTTTATAATCGATTGAATTTTTTTACCAACTTCTCATATACTTAGGAAATAAATTCGAAAAGCATTATATGCACTAAACATTAAGTTTTATTGCCCTATGTTATTCGACGCCTTGCATGCGAATACAAGGTCTGTAAGCCTTCGTCACGTCAGTTTCGAGGTCATTTGAAGGTCAAGAAGGGAAAATTCAATTAACCTGAAAATTCATATATATGGGGTTTTAGACTCGCTGAACCCGAATCCGTCAGGAAGAAAAATGAAGGAACAGTTATTGGAATACCTCAACAAACAGCACAGCAACATAAAATTCACAATGGATCCAGAAATGAAAGGAAGGCTAAATTACTTAGATCTGAAGATTGAAATAAATAAAAGCATCAATAGTCTGCAATATGAAATTTTTGGGAAGCCCAAGAGCCCAAGATACAATAATAAATAATACTTCGAACCAACCTCATCAGGATAAAAAAGCCGCCTTTAGACAGACGACCGTCTTAGAATTGAGCGAATACCACTAACAAAAGAAGGATACAAAAACGAACTGAACGCAATATATGCCATTGCGGCTAATAATAGATACAAGAGAGATCTGGTAGAGGAAATCCGAAGGGAGCACAAAAACAAAAAGCCAAACAAAGAAGAAAACAATGACAAAAATTGGGCAGTACTAACCTATACTGGAAAGTCAACGTATAAACTAACAAAGTTTCGCCAGAGTCAAATTTCGCTAACTGCATGTTTAACAACAAATGTTCACCGACGCCAATAAGAAAGAAAGCGAAACTAGAAAATATGGAAATATAGAAACTAAAAACCTACGACGGCAAAATAATAAACGAACAAACAAGTAGCGGTTCGGATGTTATATTCCAAACCTTAAAATTAATTTACGAAAAAAGACTCCGAACTCACCAATAAGTTCCACCTGCAGGCGAAAACCATACAGCGACAACATAACGGATGTTAATATCGAGACAGCGAAGATGAACCTATTACCTGTTTTTAAAAAAAAGGACACCATGGCATATCTAATAATGAATCATCGACGAAAATCACATTACCTAAGATAAATGAACTTAAATTAAAGAACGAAAAATTACACTGAAGATGGCACAACGCCGAAACCGGTTTGTCTGCAACCCAAGCTGGACAAGGGATGACGGAAATTCGTTCCAAAATAAATCACAGATTATGTATTGAATAGAGATAGAGATTGAATGTAAATGTGTTAACTAAAATGAGTATTACTTTGTATACATATGTCTAAGAGAAACTAGATTAAGTTGAATATATAATATGTACTGTATGCATGTAATTTTAAGAAAAAGATAAATAGTTTAATAATTCTTGAGTTGATACTTAAGTTTTAAAAATTTATTTTTTGCTTTTCAGTTATTTTTACTATATTTTTTTTTGAAGTTGGTTATTTTTTTTGTTAAAAAACTTTAAGTCAATCAAAGGTACAGCAATTTGTTTATAAAATTAAAATCGAATGTTTAGCGGATATAATGTTTTTTGAATTTTTTTCCTAAGTATATGAGAAGTTGGTAAAAAAATTTCAATTGAGTATAAAACTAAAAATTTTTATAAAAAAGGAATCGAAATTTTATAAACTGACCACTTTATTTTGTTGCTTTCTAATTGCTGTCAAAAAATCAGAAGATTCGAATGAATGGTTGCTGAAATATTGCAAAAAGTGTAAAAGCCAGCATAAATTTTTTTTGCAAATAACTTGTCGAAAAATTAAAATTAGCTCAAAAGCTTTAGTGTCAATATTGCGTACCATGTTAACTTTCAAAATCGGCCACTGACATATCAAAAATCAAAACGTCAACTTTGGGTGGCCCACTTGGAAAGAAAACTTGACTCTAAGGGCCAAATTCAGAATCGGCAGTTAACTACAGATTTTCTGTACGTACAATGAATTTGACTCTAAAGACAAGATAAGATATGATATGCAGTTTTTATGGCAATTGATGAAAAGCTTATTGGTTGCGCTATATTACAAAACGTACTTTGGATGAAATAGTAAATCAAATCAGTTGACTTTCATCGCTTTGTTAAACGTTTCTTAACTTACTTGCTTACTCTACTTTAACAGCCTTGAATCAAAAACTTCTTAGCCCCCACCATCTATATTACAAGTATTTGTCATCACAGATGCACAATCATCGAACTCGAATAAGTATTTTTGTAAAATCTTTGGTACGCCCAACAAATTGATCATTCGACTTAAACTGGAATCGCGCTTCGTTGTTGGATATCGTTGT